GGATTAAGTTGTGTTTTGTCCAACGTGCGTTTAGGCTCTTTAAAACAAACTTGGTTTTTTATTGAGCCACAAAATTTGGTTTTTAGTGAGCTTGTGAAAATTGTTAGGAATGCATTTTTGGCCTGCAGGGTGTCAGAACCTGGCCCCAAACGGAACGCTTGGCTGGATGGAGCCGGGGAGCGGGAGGGACGCGGCCGCGGGAGGACTCACCTCTCAGCCCGCACAGCCCGCACAGCGCAGCGAACACCGCAGACTCCATTTCGATGTTCCTCACGCCGGCGTCATACGCTCTCTTTAAGTACTCCAACTTTTTTTCACTGGAAAAAGAGCACAATGCTCCGTCTAATCGCCCCTGACCTTGAAAGGAAGCAGAGAAGCATCACCGCTGGCCCTGCGTGGGTTACGGTCATGGTCAACAGGATGTAGTTTCAAACGGAAAGTCTGGCAGTGCCCACGTTTTGTCTGAAGCTGACCAAGTTTTCCTTTGAACAGTTACTAAGCTCGTGTTACCCTCAGCGTTTAACAGCGGTGCGCTATGTCTCTGTGTAGAGGAGAAAATTGCACAGGTTTTGGCATTTGTAAAAAGGACGAGTGAGCCCACAGGTGCTGAGTGCAGGGAGCGGGTTGACTCTGCAGGGGCAAGTGGTCGCCGCTCCTCTGAGGCCCATGGCATACGTCAGCTATGAAGGTCTGCCAGGTTAAATCCAAAAAATGCCAAATTACTGTGGAAGAGGCACATAGCAAGCTGTATAGAACAGGAAAATTGGGGAGAGGGAAACCTTCTTAGTTTAGGTTTAATTTTTCTTAAGCGTCTGCCATGGATGGAGCCAGCTGGAGCTGCTCGCAAGTGATGGTCCCTGCTCGGGCAGCCGGGGAGCTGGGCACGGGCAGCCAGGAAAGTCGGGCACGGCAGCCAGAGAGCTGGGCATGAGCACCGGTGCTGCTGCTCCCTCCTGCTCCCGTTGCAGCCCCAGGGCATCGCCGCAGACAGGACCCCACGCCATGCTCGGTGCATCCGGGCGCAGACACCCACCCTGAGCCTCTCCTCTAATTCCACTGGTGGCTTTGGCTGTCCTGCACCCGGGTCCACAGAGCGGACCCGTCCTCGGCGCAGCTATTCCTCTTGCGCCGTAGGGACAGTCCTTTCTGCAAGCAAAGCGTGTACCTGTGGCTGCGCTACCCGGGGCAGAGCGCTTCAGCTTGTTGCTGTTCCTGCCGTTAATCCTCTCAAATGGCTCTTTGTCTAAATAAAACATGGCCTTGAGCAACACGCAGATGGTCGCGTTTGCAAGCAGATCCAAAAGTCTATAAATAGTCCTCAAATTATTAATTCTTCATTTATTACATTTCAACTACTCTGCAATCAGCATTCAATTTTGCAGAGGGAACGGTTCCAGAGTAACCAAAGTTTGTTTACGTAAATGCCACACACTTCCTGACATTTTTCTAGCGTTTGGTAGTTCTGAAGTTACAATCTTGTTGTAGGAAACCACTCAGCGTAACCCATCTGCTGGGCTTGCTACAGGAGTGTGGACGAGGGACCGTTTTCTTTGCCAGGGTGAGGCTCCTGGCGTCCTGCTTTTGGAGAGTCTGCGACCACGCGTGGCTCCCGCGGAATGGCTGGGCTGGGGGCAGCAGAGGTGCCCCCAGGTGCCTGCATTGTCCATGGAGCAACTCCTGCTGGGCAGATCTTTACTCTTGATCTGCCACCAGCTAGAGCAGCGCTGGTCTCGCAGGTGGCACTGCAAAATTTAACAGTCAGATGCACGAGAGACCAATTAGCAGAGCAGGTCTCACCTGGCAGAGTGCTGAAACTGGCACTGCGTGTTCTGAAGGCGCACCCTGCTCTGCTGAACAAGCTCTAATGTACCAGGTGGCTCTGCTCCTGGGGCCCTTCTTAGGCTTTGTGGTGTGGATAATTTTGCTTACGTAAGAACGTAAAGACTTGGCATTATGTTTGAGGGGAGGGAGGACACTCAAAGATCATTTTACCTTCATAGAAGTCGTAGGTGCACATGGTGTGGCCAATGAGAGTGGGAAAGTCAGGAATCTCCTTGCTGCAGGCAAGCAGTTCCTCCGCAAGGTCCTTGTCCAGCTCAGTGCTCCGCACCACCACGTCATCCAGCACCATCTGCTCAAACTGTGGCCTGAAGGAGGAGTCCACCGCTGTGTCCGTGATCACAACAGACCCGGCCTCGATCCCTGTGAAAACGAAGGCTGAGGCTAAGCCAGAGCTGATACCGCTTGTGACCTGCTGGAAAACTTCAGCATGACAGAAAGATCTTTATAGATGTACGGGTGACTGTGGGGTGGTTCTTTTTAGTGAGCAAAGCAGATGTGAGAGAGTAATTGAAATTCATGCAGTAGCACAGATGTAGAAGTAAAACATACAGAATCAGCACACGATGAGTGATTGTGGGAACATGCTGAGCAGCAGCATTTTAATGGCTTCTGGCTTGCAGAGATCATGCCCCACCACCAGCTCGTGCAGGTGTGAGCAGCACCACTGCCCCGGCCAGGAGTCCCACCAGCACGGAGGACTACAGACACCAGAACAGCTGGGAGGATCTCAAAGTGTGAAAATGACTTCCAGTCCAGTGGTTTCTGTTTGAAAAGTGGTACCCAAGTGTTGTGAATTCAAGGCCTTCGTTCATTACGAAAACGTGCGTTCTGCTAAGCTAGTCACTAAAAGTTTGCTGGGTTTTAACCCAAAACAAAATATCTTGTTGTTTGATATTGGAGGACCTGACAAAATCCTGAAGCTCATAATTACATGACCCATTGCTGAGAACTTGTGGGGTTGGGTTTTTTTATTAATACCCGCTTTGCCCGGAAGAAGGACCATGGATTGCTTACCTAAGCCTCCGGACGTACCGATGCGTATAATAGTAACGTCTCGGCATTTTGCATGGTGCAGCAGTTTGATCAGTTCATGAAGCATGATGGAAATGGAAGGGATGCCCATCCCGTGCTGTTGGGAGGAGAGAAAAGAGAAATGTCATTCCCTGTGATGCTGCAGCGGGTGACAGGTATGTGATTGCAACGAGCCCAGGGTTACACTGTGACCTCTTTCCACTGATGAGGCCAACAGCAATTTTTTCATAGATTTCTAGGTTGGAAAAGACCTTAGAGATCATCCAGTCCAACTGTCCCTAATCCCCATTAAACCATATCCCTAAGTAGTTCATCCACCCTATTAAACACATCCAGGGACGGGGACTCAACCACCTCCCTGGGCAGCCTTTTGAGTGGAGAGAGAGACGTCTCAGTGTCTATGTAGCCTGTCCAGTTAAAGCATCTAACCCTCTTCTCCTTCTCTTGACACTTTCAAGGCTCTTATCAATAGAGCTGATGTTCATCCTGGGAGACCCATACATCAGGTGCACAGATGGTGCCTCTCCTTCCAGGAAGGTCTCTCCACAAAGGCATCCCAATGGCTGAATGCTCCAAGACCTTCCCCTTGTGTTGCCCGTCCTTACGCCCCATGCTGACTGCCATTCTTTGTCCGGTCTTGGTGTGGCGAGTTTCAGGGAGGACGGCCTGAGCCTCTGCTTCTCTGGTGGCCTCCAGCCCCTCCTTGCCTCGTGCCGGAGCACCTCTGCCCACATCGCTGGGCGTGAAGGACACCGGACGGGTTTGTGCCCCTTGGCGAGTTTGGAGGTCAGGTGTTTGCTGCGTGAAGCCTCGTGCCTGCCCGCCCTCCTGTCCTGCTCCCGTCTCGCATCGCCCGCCCTGGTGTCCCTGTGTCCCAGCGCCTGCCCGGCTGCCTGCAGGCTCTGCCCTCCGCTGCGCCAGCCCGTTCCCCGTCCTCTGCCCCGGCCGGCGCTGTCTCGCCATGCCATCTCCACTGCCGCTCCTCTGTGCTGGCAGAGGCTTTGCAAATCTCGAGCTGCTGAGGCTGCCTCTTCTGCCCAGCGCTCCCTCACATCATCATCTTCGCTTTGTGCTCCATCCCTCAACCGCTGCCCTCTTCTTGGCTTTGCCTTTAAAAGCAGAGGGTGTTTGGTGGTGTGGGGTTTGGTTTTTCCCCATGAAAAACGCCTCGCATGCTTTTGGCTTTGCTATGGTGTTCAAAAACCTGAAGGCAGCACGTGTAGAGAAGCTTGAATTAGTTAATGCAACACACGCAGTCTGCGTATCGCTTTGTCTCTTTTCATTCGGCTGTGAAACTGATGCTCTGTTAGGCTTATATCACGTTTTAAATATGAAAACGTTTTGCATGTTGTTATTCTGGAACATCAGCCTGACTTATTTGCCAATGCCTAAAAAATTTATTCTCATTGTAAATATTCCAAGCAGGAAGCTGTGTTCCTGCCTCCGGTATGTTTGAGTTCATTTGTGTTTCCAAGCAACTTGCCGAAATGTGCTGTTGGCAGCTGCTCCGCGGGGGCGCTGGGGGAGGCTCGCTGCCCACGGCCCCTCGCAGGGACCAGCCCGGCGGTCGGTGGCTTCTGCGTTGGCGCAAAAATGGTGCGTGGCCAAGAGCTCAGCGTCGGCTTTGCTTCTCGCTGTGCCACGACTGCTGCCAGACTGGGGAGCAGAGACACTTGTGGGCCTTTTTCCCCTTGGATCCTGTCACACTGGTTCCCTCAGGCTTTTCTGTCGGTCAGGATTGGTTTGGTTTTGCCCGAGGGACCAAGCGTGAGCTGTGGTGTGAGCGACGCTGTCTCCTGTGAATCAGATTTGAGACTCATCTTGTGCCTGAAGCAGCGACAGCGGGACCGAGCCCTGGGCTGTGAGCACCCACTGGCACAGCCTGGATTTGCTTTTCCTGTGTGCAGTGCCAAGAATTCTGCTGCTCTTAAAGAACAGAGCAAGATTTTTCCTTTAGAGCTCCTGTCAGTGTAATGCTTCCAGCAATATTTATAGTTCCTGCATGGTGGGAAGTGGTCTTCACCTCTTGAATTGCCAGACCGCTGAGCTGAGCCAAACACGAGCGCGTTCGTCTCTAATACGACGCTTTTGAACCTGAACACGTAGGGTGCTGAGAAATATCGCTCCAACAGAAGCAGCTTTGCCGTGGCTGAAAAGTAGCACTGGTGGCAGCGGCTGAAAACTGAAAAGAGGGAAAAATCTGCCAGTGGGCATTGTGGGAGGCAGAGGCACGGGAAGGAGAGGCCGTGCCAGCCGCTCTCCCTGCGTTCGTCTCTAATACGACGCTTTTGAACCTGAACACGTAGGGTGCTGAGAAATATCGCTCCAACAGAAGCAGCTTTGCCGTGGCTGAAAAGTAGCACTGGTGGCAGCGGCTGAAAACTGAAAAGAGGGAAAAATCTGCCAGTGGGCATTGTGGGAGGCAGAGGCACGGGAAGGAGAGGCCGTGCCAGCCGCTCTCCCTGCCGCGGGGCAGCTGGGACCCCGCGGGCAGCAGCAGAGCCCAGGGCAGGCTGCGGTGAGCGCTGGGATGGGAAACGTACGCGGCGCAGCACGGCGCGGTGCAGCATGGCGCGGTACTCACACTGATGGAGAGCACCGGCCCAGCCCGGTACATGGCGTAGCGGTCCGTCCCCGCGCAGATGTCTGCCAGGTCCTCCCCGTCACCCGTCAGTCCCAGCTCCTTGTGCATGAACTGGGCAAAGGCCCGCATCCTGTTGGGGCTGCCGCCCACGCAGACAAACTGGGTGGTAAAATAGGAACGTGTTGGTGCTTTTTAGCTAAAATAGGTACCAAGATTCAGCCGTAACGTGGCAGTGGCAGCTGCACCAGACACGTCTTGCAGGCAATTGGGGGACATCAGAACAACCAAGGGCCTCAAAAACAGGGATTCACACTAGAACCAAACTGTTACTCCTTTAGGGTTGTGTCTACACCAGGACCCACAGCTGTACAGTTGCACATACTTGGGTATCAATCTCAGGCCAAGAAAATGTAAAATAATTCAGCAAATTTGAGCTGTTAGTATTCCCACTGATGGCAAAGCAAAACCAGATGTTAGAGTAGCTCGTCATGTAATTTATTCTATCAACAGTGTCGACTGCAATTAGTGAGCACTGCTGATGACACAGAGACCACGAAGTCAGAGAGAAAAAGGACAAATTTTACATATTAAAAGAAAAAAATGCTCCCTGAACACAGGAGGGGGACCAGCACGTGACTGTAAGGGCAGCACTGCTGATCCGGCTGCCAGCGGTGCAGGGGAGCAGGAGCACATGTGTGGGCTGGGGAAATGCTCCCATTTAAAATGGAAGAGGAATGCCATCATGACAGGCTGCT